CCCATCTCAGTGGTGACATGGAGCTAGAAACTCTGCAGAGTTGTGGCAACATGGATCCCAGCAGTAGCTGGGCCATAAAGCTAGACTCTCAGAAAGCCAAGGACTTTGGGTGGGGCCAGCCACTGCCTTAATTTTCGCCACGCTGTTTAGCAGATAAAAGACACTTGTGGTTAGAAAAAGATAGATATTCAGTAAAGACTGACTCAGAGTGAGAACAAAATCCTCTAGATGGTTTACAGTGTGTTTAAAATATGCATAGGCTTGGAAAAGAAAAGAAAAAGGATAGAGAAATTTCTTTAAAAAAAAAATAGAGTAGCTGGGCATAGGTGGCACAAGCCTTTAATCCCAGCACTCAGGAGGCAGAGGCAAGCAGATCTCCGTGATTTCAAGGCCAGCCTGATCTACACAGTGAGTTCCAGGGTAGCCAAAGATATATAAAGAAACCCTGTCTCAAAAAAGCAAAAATTAAACAATAAAAATAAGAGAAATAGAGTACTAAAAAAAGCCACATTAAGATGGAAATACACAGAGAGTCTGGATACCGTATGTTATTGTGCTGTCTTTGAATTGTTTGACTACTGAGGTTAGACATTTGCTCATAAATGTTGCTCGATTAATACAATCTACATATTTTGAAAATGCCTTGACTTCAAAATTTAAGTCTAAGGACATGTTACTCTGGAAAAGAGGTTCTGCTTTTGTTTCCACAGAAGATGAGAAGCTGTGGATTCCTTCCAGACTAATATGGTTTGATCAAGCAAGCCCCCCAGGTGATCCAACATCCAAAACAGCTGAGACTATGCAGCACCACAAACTACTACAAGCAGGATTTGGCCAGGTTTCCGTGTTTTCTCAGGATCCCCATGCGATTGACAGCACCCCCAAACAGCGGGAAGCAGTTTGGAGAAAACTATACCCACGTTCCCAAATATTGTTTATAAATGTTTGTTTTCATTTAAATTTGGTTGATTATAAGTAGCTAATGATCACTGTCAATCTCTTTCTAAACAACAACAACAAAGAAACTATAATGCAGGAATGAATACTTTGCATTGGTATGGATTTTGGTTTATTGATACAAATTTGTGGTTAATTTTGTTATATGTACATTTCTACTCTTGCTTAGGTATTGTTTATATAGCTCACGTAAAATGCAATATATAATTAAATACAGATTATAGATAATCGCTATAATAGTCAAAACTTATGTTAGCTAGGTTTCCTAGATATACAGAGATATATTTCAAATGGATAGATGTTCTTCAAACCTTTCAAAAACCCACAGAATATGGCATTTAAAATGGTCTATTAGGGTTTTTCATAACAATGAGATACAACTATTCCTGGCAACACCAATTACATCAGACAGGAAGATAGGCACCAAAGAAACTCATCATGGAGTTTGCTTTCAATATGGCAAGACTAGCCATTTGGTTAAGAAACTGCTCTTGCCTGGACTGTTTAACTGTATGCTGTATAAATTGGACATGAAGGGCCCCGCAGGAAAGTGACTGCCTAACTTGTCAAAACAAGATGGGGCAGTCCTTCAGGGTTCTTGCTTCATGGAAGAGTCTGCCAGAAGTTATGCAGGATACAGAGAAAAATGACCGACAAACTGCCAATACAGGTGGGACAGTTTCAAATTTCCTGCTTCACTGAGAAGTCTGTCAGACACTCTAGGCCTGTGGGCTAAAGATGGATGCCCTAACATTAGACTGAAACTTTGAGTGACTATCCAGGCAATGAGTTGTCTTTGTCAATTCTAGAGTTTACATATTATCATTTTGGGGTCTTTGATGGAGTTGAAGACAATTACAGTTATGGTTTTCCTTAGTTATGATAAAAGATAAGTTACATATAAAACTTTAGACTCACAAAGATAGGATAGATGATAGAATATTTTATTTAAATTTTGCCAAATGTTAATGGACTAAATATTGTTAACTGTCATTCTTGCTTGATAACTGTTTTGCTATATATAATTTTACTATGTTAAAGTTAAAAACCTTCCTTTTTATTTAGACAGAAAAGAGGAGATGATAGGGGATGTCCTTCTGTATTCTGTGAATATATGTTTCTCTTATTGGTTGATGAATAAATGCTGAATGGTCAGTAGCCAGGCAGGAAGTATAGATGGGTCTACCAGATTGGGAGAATTCTAGGAAGAGGAGACTCAGAGAGAATCTCGAAAGAGACGCCATGTAGCTGCCAAAGGAGTAACATGCCAGAGCATTATGGGTAAGCCACAGCCTCATGGCAATACATAGTTTAATAGAAATGGGTTAATAATTAAGAGAGAGCTAGTCAATAAGAAGCCTTAGTCATCGGCCAAATGGTTTATAATTAATATAAGTCTGTGTGTTTATTTGAAACTGAAGGGTGGCAGGATTGGGATGGACAGAAACTTTCACCTACAGCTACCATATGAAAATGATTAGATAACCACATATACAAGTTAGTTATTTAGCTTTAAATTAAGGTTAAAGAGTATCCAATAATAAAGCACTACACTAAATCTCACCTTTCATATTTAGAAAACATCCCTTAAGATTATTCTGGGTAGTTAAAATATGAACACAAAAAGTTTATAAACATTGAAGAGCAGGAAAAGAAGACATCCAAAGTTCAGCGCTTGCAGAGAATGTTTAGTACATTTTATACTATGTCATAGTTCTAAGAACTAAAAACCATGTTAAATACAGCATTCTTCATGAATATCTTCTAGATTTCATTCCTTTAGAATTTGAAAGTATAACCGACTTAATTCTTAAATGATCTCTTGTCATAATCCATTTTATTAATATAGTTAATTAACAAATGAAGCTAGAAATAAAATGACAGATTTCAAAAGGTTTTTAAAACGTAGCCTGTAAGGTTCTTAAATTCTCCTGATGAGGAAAATGTCCTCATATGTACTGCTGGACAAAGACTATCATCACATTTTAATGGAACGGAAATCAAAACAGTACATTTTTGTCCAGTGTCTGCATATGTGACCTCTGCATACGTGAGCCCGTGTTTCACTGCGACACTGTTTATTATATTCTGTGTGATCTATTTCCGGGGAATGGAATGGGCTACACTGAAGTTTGCACTCACTTCAAAAGTGGTCATTTTCCCCCAAAAGATTGTTTTCTTTCTTTTTATTTAAAAATACAGTTTTAGAATATAAAACCTCATCAAAATAAAATATTTGTCTGTTTTTGGAGAAATACCACAAACTACTATGCGACCTTTAAAAAAATAATATCATTTGAACCACTGGTCTAAATGGGTCATTAACTCAGAAGAATTAAAATTAGCAGTGTGGGGTCACGTCTTTTCCTAACACATGTGCATCCCGTTTGTCCTGTTCTCTTCAAAGTCAAACCAGAGGAAAGTATGAACAGGCAGAATATAGTTTACTGAGAATCTGTTATTCTGCTCCTGAAACACGTATAAAATTAACAAAGTAAAAAGACACAGTGCAAGAAATGTATTCAAGGGGGCGGGGAGTGGCAGAAGGCGATCACATTAGCTCATTCGCTTGCAGGGGACGACAGCATGCTCATTCCTTGTTTTTCACACACCATACTTTCGCAATAAACACAAATCAAAATCAGCAAGACAAACCTAAAACTAACACTCCTATGCACGTTCCGCTCACATAAGCCTCACTTCTTCTATGAAGCTAACCAGACAGTAAACCTTTCCAGACACAGATAGGCTGAGGCAAGAATACCAGGAGTTTGACACCAGCTTCTGCTACAAGGGGTCCTAGTCTCACAAAACAGGAACCTTAGCAGGACCCAGCACCCAAGTGTTTACTTATCTTACACATTCTGGTAACTCAATGATTAAATCCCTCCTCTCCCAGAAAACTTCAAAAATAGGATAAACGGTATCCTAAGACTAAGTTACCTAAATAATAATAGTAAAACATAAATGCAGACGTTTAACTGCCAGAGATATTCATGATCCCTCCAATCCGAAGGATGGCAACAATGTGTCATGCACTCAAGGACTCTGGACTTCAGAGGAGAACCCAGGCAAGGCGGCAGCAAGGGTGGCATCAGGAGTCCAGTAACAGCCAGCTTGGTTTCAGCAAGCCACCAGGAAACTCACTCCAACATTCTTTCTTGATTGGAAGTAACTTTAATATTGGGGAGGTGGTGGGGGATAATTTCATATTCCTCAGCTGGCAACTAACAGGAAGGAGTGATGCCCATGCAGATGCTAAAGCGGCTAAGGAGACCAGCTCTCCCTTTAGTCCCTTTCCTAACACTGCTTCCCCAAAATGAGATCTTGAGAATTCTCCACTCCCTCAAGACCTCTTGTCTCTGTTTAGAGACCAAGAGAAAGACCTTGGCTGACAAGGAGACTCTGGAGGTGTGGCTTTGGAGACTGTTAAGGAACACTCTAAATTCATTTTTTTTTTTAAAGAAAAACGGGGTGGGTGGGGGAATAAACAAAATCAGGATTTACTCATCACCAGATGGATGATAAAATATTTATGGTTGTCCAAGACAAATTTACACGCCCCCCCACACACACACACACACCCTGAAGCAAAGACAAATAATACCAGGGAAGGACTGAACAGGCAGGATTAATCCTTCTAATACGGCAGCTCTAAATCCGTTTTTCACCGCTTGTACTAGTCTTCCTTAGTCCCTCAGCCCCACCCCCCCACCCCCCCCCCCCCCCCCCCCCCCCCCCCCAACCCCCCCCTTCCCTGCCCCCCTTCCCCCATCCATAGTTCTGAGCGACTCTGCCCAACAACTGCTCAGCCTCCAGGGCGTCCCTCTGGGTGGCATCCCTAGCACTCAGGAGGTTCGAAAAAGCCTGAGGACCTGGCGCCAGCGCCACAGCTAAGGAACCCATCCACACCCGTCAGCCCGAGAGGATTAAGTTGTCGGGACAGGACCGCAGAGCTCAGGGAGCGGTCCCGCCCACTCAAGCCCCTCCCGAGCTCGGACACCCAGGGGTCCCCGCCTCGGCGGAGGTGAGCGCGCACTCACCGGAGGTGAGCTGCATCCAAGCACAGATCTTGTACACGGTGGCTGTGTTGCAGAAGAAGAAGAGGGTAAAGCAGATGATGCAGGCGATGATGAGCATCATGGAGAGGCCGATGAAGAAGGAGGCTGCTTTGAAGGCGCCCGAGGGCAGCGTGGAGAAGTCCGTGAAGCTGCCCCTGCAGGTCAGCTCCCGGGAGAAGCCGTTGCCGATGCAGTAGTGGAAGAGCCCGAAATAGCCGGCTTGCGGGGTGTCCACGCCGTCGCCGATCCAGTAGGGCTGAATGAAGCACACCACGTTGACGATGGCAAAGCAGATGGTGAAGATGGCCCACAGCACGCCGATGGCCCGCGAGTTCCGCACATAGTTGGTGTGGTACAGCTTGGCAGCCTCCTGAGCCGGGAGCATCGCGGCGGCGGCGGCAGCTCCAGGCATTCTCCCCCTCCTCCTCCTCCTCCGCCTCCTGGTCCTCCGCCTCCCCCCCGCCTCTCGGGGCGCAGGAGACACACTCGCCGACACGCGCGCGCGTCGCAACTCCCCTGCCTCCGCCTCAGCCCAGCAGCACCAGTTCTAGAGTCTGCATCCTCGCTCCCGGAAGGAGGGCGGGGGGAGCGCCCCGCCCCCCTCCGGCTCGCCTGGCACAGCCTACCCGCCCCCCCCCGACTCCCTGCCTCCTTCTCTCCCTCCCTCCTGGCCCCGGCTCCAGCCCTGCTCAGCACCCCTCTGCCCACTGCTGCAGCTGCTGCAGCTGAAGCTGGCCAGCCCTCATGCCCCCCATTTTCTTTCCCGTCACTGACCCCCTTTCCTGCCCGCACTGCTGGTGCCCCGGGGCGCAAAGGACCGTGGCTACCCTGAGATGTTCCTTAAGTGTCAGACACAAGCCAGAGAAGGGGCTGTGGAGTTGGGGAAAATCTAAGAGCATGCCCACAGGAATCCTAGTGGCACTCCCTGGATCCTGGAGGGTGTGCTGCCAGCCACGAGGCTGACCCTAGGAGCTTTTCATCCCGCACAGGAACGTGCTTTGACCTCTGCATCTTTGCAGAAAAGAAAGAGGCAGCATGGCAGGTGCCCGCGAGAAAGGGAAGGGCACGCAGTGCCCCCCAGAGAGGCTTCCCTGTCAAAACCACACAATTGCCCCTGCCTAACTCTTAGGGCAGCCCGAGCCCACAGACGGAAACAGGAGAAGTTGGGCAGAAACCTGTCGGGTAATGATGTACTAGTCAAGTCCGGGGGGCTGATCTTCTATTTCTAAGGAGCTTGTTTCCCTCCCCACTTTGCTACTATTCAGCAAAGGAACGGTGGCCAACTGAAGCCCCACGCCTCACTCTCCTCTCCCGCAGAGCTTGCAATAGATGAGGCCTGTATGCACGGAAGTGATTGTCAAAGAATTTTAGAGTTTGTTTGAAAACCTCGGATGGTGTGGCAGGTGTTCCATTTATTACACAAATATTCACTGGCAGCTAGTGTGTGTTAAAGACACAGAGGATGGCAATGGATAAGTGTCTTAACCGTGGGAGTATCCCTCTTCCCCCACAACCCAAGGCTCCAGTTGACTTCCCTGAATCATCCGCAAATAACGCCTTGCATAGCTGGTGTGTACCTTTTGCTGTTTCCTTGTTCGATTTACTTTCTCCAGCATCGTCATTGCTCTTTTTTAAAAGCCCTATCTATCAAAACGAGTTTCTCTGTTGCCATTGCTTACTGTTTGGTTCCTTCTGTGAACCCAGAATGCTCGATAGCAGGAATCTCTTTTGGTAGAAATCATTTTAAACCCTACGATTGCTGAATTCTTTGAGCAAACAGAAGGAAGAATGTCCCCCACAGACTTTCATCCTGAAGTTGGGACTACATAAATGACCCTTCACTGAAAACGGGTCCAAAGCCATAGAGACTAGTTATGCTCTTCCTCTGATACCCTGAAGGTTTGTAATTGTGTGCGGGCAGGAAAGGGAGGGGGCTTGGGATAAAGGACACACAAAATAATGAAAGGGCTTCTGCTGCAGCTGTGAAAGATCTGAAAGTGTCAGTGTGGCAACTGTACAGTGAGGTCTCCTACCGGTATGGAGTAGAGCTATTACAGTTCAAGGCCCATCAACTAGAGCTTTGAAAAGAGGGCACCATTGGGCAGATTAGGGGACTGTTAGCTGTGGTAAGCCAGAATTCCTATCAGGTGTAGCTGTGAATTCTCAGAAAGCCTTTAAAATATCAGAGCAATTTAGGAGAGATGCTGATGACCTAAATGTGGACCAGACCAATATAACACATTATGTCTTTAAAAACATAAGTCAAGAAATTACACCTTTAGTGCATTGGTGGTAGTGATGGACGGGTCAGAACTTCTGTTAGGTTCCATTCTGAACTCCCCTTTGCCTGTTGGTAAATCAGCATCTTAACTTGGGGGGAGGAAGACAAGGAAAGGAGAAGGTGATGAGATTTGTAGGGCCAGCTGGCAAGCAGTGTGTCCTATGGCAGAGACAGCTTCAAGGCAGAATTGACGTAATTCCTAGTGACTCTTCCAAGTCCTCAAATCCCTAAACCTGCTTATGTAAAGTGGTCTTTCTTTGAAATCACTGCCTTAAGAAAAATTTAGTGTTCCTGGAGCGGGGGTTGAGTTTGGAGGTTGCTGAGAAGGGAAAGCTGAGAATCAAAGGGCCTGGTTACATCTTGATGCTTTAAATTGCCTTCATGGGACAAAGAAAAGACTGGAGAATGACTCAAAGGTTGTGAGTCAAAGAGCCTTTCCTTTTGAGTACTGCCAAAAGAAAGCCTTGTTCTTATTCCGGGTTTGGAATTGCCTCTGGCTTCGTGCTCAGAACCCTTATACCAGAAGGCACACTCAAAACTGTCCACTCTGTTCAACATCCACTGAGAAGCATCCAGAGCTGGCAAGCTATCACAGTGCTCCTGCGCCTTCCCCACAAAATCCATCATTTCCTCCTTCAGGTTGGGATCAGTAGGGCATGAACTAGACCATGCCAACAGACCTTCTATTTCCAGTGTCTCATACTATAGCAGATTTTCAGAATGAAGTAGGATCCTCCAAGACTCTAGGAACTAGGGATGAGCTAAAATGCTAAATTCTATTGTGGACTGTGCCATCGGTGGATGTGTTCTCTACCATTCTTCAGACCCCCTTGCCACTAGCATTCCAATCTGTCCTTTGCCACCAGGAATCCCACAGGTAAGACTTCATGAAAAATTCTTGACTTGCATCATGTAGGTCAGTGGCTCTCAAGCTGTGATCCCTTAATACAGTTCCTCATGTTATGGTGGCCCCCAATCACAAAATTATTTTGTTGCCACTTCATAATCATGATTTTGCTACTGTTATGAATCATAATGTAAATATCAGATATATAAGATATCTGATATCATTCGACCCCAAGGGGTTTCAACCAGTAGGCTGAGAACCAGTGATACAGACTTCATGAGTTTTAACAGCTAAACATATGTGAGACTCTGCAATTAGCCTGTGTGACCAGGACAGCTGTTTTGGGGAGGAGGAGATAACAAAACTAGCCTGATTCATGATACAAAGTTGCTATTGATAGAAAGGCGTTTTGAAACTATAACATGATTCATAAGTGCTAAATAACTAGTAGAAGTCTGTAGTTGACAGCATAAGAAACACTGAATGCTCAAATCTCAAATCTCACTGTTGAAAATGCTTTTCTCTTACTGCCACAAAGGGTCAGTAGTGAAACTCCGTCTTCACACTCTGGAACTATAAAAGATAAGAAACTGAACAATGGTTGGGTTGTGTGACCCTCCTGAGATCCTAAGTGAGATAAATAATTAATGCTTTGTTCAAATTAATCTGATGCAGACAGGAGAGTGCAAGGTTGGTACCTAGATCTAGATCTTTCCCTTGCTTTTGGAAGCCCAGGCTCCTGAGGGTTCCATGTCTCTTCTCTGGAATTTGGTGGGGATGAAAGGATAGAAGATGCATTCTAAGATTCCTTACTATTGTAAAATTCTCTTTTACAAAGACTAAAATAACTTCTTTAGAAAATTTAAAGGAGAGAAAGAATACAGCATTTGGAAAAGTCTAAAGATTTATCAGATTATGACAAAGTAGACATTGTATTCAAAATTGAAAGCCCTTTCTGAAATTACATAGATGTAATTTTGCAAGCAAAGAGTGCTTAGAATTTCCAGATGAGTCATTGCTTATGAGCAAGGTAATAGAGACAGAGAGAAATTCTAAATTCTGTTACTTAATCGATTTTTAGAGTGATGTCCAAGGTTACTATTAGACCTTACTGCAGAATACAGAGATTCTAATGGTTAAGCTCTTCTCACCCCTGAAGGACTCCCTTCTCTCCCCTGAGCCATTTAGTTTTCTTTGGGATTGTAGAAGTCAGGAACCACCACTTGAGTTAATCAATCACTGGAATAGCAGAGACAATCAGATGGCCTGAGTGTTTCAGCACTTTTGGAAAAATCAAGATCTAGTTGAAGGCCAGGTATACTGGCTGGTTTGTGTGTCAACTTGACCCCAGCTAGTGTTATCAGAGAGGAAAGAGCCTCAGTTGAGAAAATGCTGACATGAGACCCAGCTGTAAGGACCTTCTCAATTAGTGATCAGTGGGAGAGGGCCCAGCCCATGGTAGGTGGTGCCATCCCCGGGCTGGTGCTCCTGGGTTCTATAAGGTGAACTGAGCAAGCCAGGAGAAGCAAGCCAGTAAGCATGACCTCTCCATGACCTCTGCATCAGCTCCTACCTCTGGGTCTCTGCCCTGAGTTCCTGCCCAGACTTCCTTCAGTGATGAACAGCAATGTGAAAGTGTAAGCAAAATAAACCTTTTCCTCCCCAACCTTTTTTTCCCCTTTGGTCATGGCATTTCATTGCAGCAATAGAAACCTTAACAAAGACACGAAGTAAGGTGGTCCTGCAGATTAACGTGCCTTGATGACCTGAGTGGGTCCCAAAATCCACATGGTGGAAGGAGAAAGCAGAGCCTGCAACTTATCCTCTCACCTCCAGATGTGCACCTGCCAGGACATGAATGTTCCTGCCATACTCAAAGAAACAAAGAAAAGCAAACCAAATGCATAAATGTAAAATATCTGTCATTCATTCTGAACTGGTCTCTTGGAGTTTTCCAGAAAAGGCACAGTGTATTGGAAACGCACACTTTTCAGTGGGGTCACACTGGAATGCACCACTTGGGTGCTCTGCTCTGAGCATCTCTGTATAAAAATCTTGTCTCTCTATTTGGCCAACATTTAGGTCTCTGGAATATCAGGTTGAGATTTTTTTAAAGACTCTCTCAAAGTAACATACTCCAAAATTTTAAATCTTACAGTCCCAACACCTCTCTAAATAATAGAAAAACCGTTCCATAAGGTTTTGTCTCTTACAATAGTCACACAAAAATGCTATAATATGGATGACTCAGTGGTCATAAAAGCACATGTCAATGTCTTCCAGG